TTCTAGAACCCAGGGTCAACTTCCAGTTCCAGATGCCCATTGGATTTTGTAACCAAACTGCCGAAGAACTTGCGGTTATTCGTTCCCGGTTCTGGAAAACAAACGACCATAGGTGGAAAACGGCCAGTAGCTTCCTTAGTGCCTTTTGAAGGCTCCAGGTGAAATGGCCTGAGAAGTCTCCCTAGCTTTGCTCTCTAACTCGCTTGCTCTAGTATTTTAGAGTCTAATCCCTGCTGCTACACAGCACCTCTTTTCCCTTGGTGGTGGAGAATCAAATCTGTTCACGTGATGTTGGTCCTTGAATGCAGTTTGTTACCTTGATACCTCCCTCAGTGCTGCTACAATACTGGATTTTTAAAGGGGTGAAAGAGTTGTTTTATTTAACTTGGACCACCGCAGCTGATCTGAAGGGGAGGGCATTTTCCAGTAGGTGACATACAGCACCATGGTACACCTCAGAGCTTGTTGAAAGGCAGCAGCACTTTCCTCAGGTTCTGCCCTTTATTAGCTGTGTGACCTTGGGTAAGATTTTCCATTTGTTCTGTTTGTTCATCGGTGAAATGAGCATAATAATACTGTCTTCTTCAAGGAGTTACTATATTAAATAAGTTACTATAGTAACTGACATAAAACTTGGGGAAGGCATGGGTGAGGGGTCGGACGGGGGTTCCTCATAGTTCTTAGAACTGACTGGAGTGAAGCACCAAAAAATGCTCTCAAGTCCACGTTTACCTGAGAGCATCTATACAACATTGAGTGCCTCAGTGTCTCTAAGTCTGATGCTTAACAAGTTGTAAGATTCTAAATTCTAGATTCTGCATCACTGTGTGTTAGTTTAGTGTCTTTGTCATCTTACAGTCCCTTTTTGTTCTTTTCTGAAGTTCCTATGCATATACTGACCAGCTCTCTGAACACTTAAATTTGTAGTGTTTACCATTTCTATGATGACTCAATTTAAGTATAATGAAAGGCTCAAACTTGACTTAAACACAGCATGACCCTAATTAATGATTTCCAGAGATTATTATACTTTGAGGTGTTTTGGGTTTTGTGTGTGTGTATATATGTTTTGGTGGTTTTTGGTTTTTGTGACTTTTTGTTGTTTTTTCTGAGACTGGGTCTCACTCTGTAGCCTTGGCTGGCCAGAAACTTGCTAATGTAGACCAGGCAAGCCTTAAACTCACAGAAATCCATCTACCTCTGTGTGCCACCACACTGACCTTGTTTTTGTTAGGATTCTGCCTCAAACCTTTGATCCATCAGCCTGAGTTCCCAATGTTGGGATTATAGGCATGTGCCACCATTGCTGGCTGGTTGAGGTAGTTCCATAGATCACAGTGGACTTGTCACAAGAATGGCCAAAGCACAAGGTATCCTCAGTTAACTGAATATACTGATCTCCTTAGCCGTAATGTCTGTAAGCCCTTGATATTCTGTTTCTTAGCCTTATATACCTCAAGCACTCTGCCCTTCCATCTAATCTAACACTTACCAATCCTTTTGCATTCTTAATGACATCAGCAAATCTAAATGCTGTATGTCAGGGGATGAAAGTGGCTAAAATCTGATTTTCTTTCTTTTAAATCAAGATCTGTGTATCTATGGTACCAAATAGGCCTAGGTTAACCTCCAACTTGCAGGCTGGGTTTACAGGCATGCTACCACTCAGTTCAGTTTACAACCTATTTTCCAAAGGACAACCATGTGGCATGTAAGTTCAGTCACTGAGTTTATGCTGCAGTTTTAGGCACTGACGAAATGGATTGCTGAGTATTGTGATAAATTTTATGTTTCTATGTCTGTGTGCATGGGTACAGGTAAATGCAAGTATTGGCAGAGGCCACAGACATGGATCCCCTGAAGCTGGAGTTTTTGAGTTGCCTGATGTGGGTGCTGGGAACTGGAACTCGGGTCCTCTGGAAAAGTAGTATGTGCTCTTAACAGCTGGGTCACCTCTCCAGGCCACCACCCTTTTTAAGGGAAAAAGGTTTATTTTGCTATTTCAGGTGACTCCTAGCTCCATGGTAGCAGCAGTTTATGGCAGAGCTGAATATCTCGTTTACAGTCATAGATGACTGTCTCAAGTCTCTCCTTCCAGATAGTCCAATTGTTTGATTAAAACCTCCCCTCCCCACACAAACCCTTAGCAATACCCCTCAGCTCTCAAATTCATGTACTACTTAAAACCTACACTACACAGTTTTATATAAATTTCAACTCTGGCATCTTATTTTGCTGGTTATCCCATATAAAAATAATATAATAGGGGTATCCTCAGTGATAGGGCCCTTGCCTAATATGGGAAAGGCCCTAGATTGCCCCAATCCCCTCCCATACCCACAAAAAGCACATAGGCACACCTGTACTCCCAGCTTCTCCAGAGGCTGAGTCAAGAGCATTGAGCTCCAGACTGGGCGATTTAGCATGACCTATGTCTCCAGGCTGAGGGCTGGACTATGTGGGAGCCACTTGTACATATTCAGTGAACATCCACTGATAAGCATCTAAAAACCTGTTTAAATGGTCTAATTTCTACAGAATCATCATGTTTTCTCTTTAGTGCACTTATTCCAGCTGGACATCACTGTGAAACAGGGACGGGATAAAGTCCGAGAAATGTTCATGAAGAATGCTCATGTCACAGACCCCAGAGTGGTTGATCTCCTGGTCATTAAGGTAACTGACCCTCTCTGATGAACTTTAAAATAGATCCAACAACTTGTCTTGTGCTTCTGATTTTTCAAGTGAATACTGCCTCCATTAATAAATAACAACTGCTGCTGGGCTATGGTGGCACACACCTTTAACCCCAGCACTCGGAAGGCAGAAGCAGGTAATCTCTGAGTTCGAGGCCAGCCTGGTCTAGAGTGAGTTCCAGGACAGCTTGGACTGCACAGAGAAATCCTATCTCCAACTCCCTCTCAAAAAAAAAAAAAAAAAAAAAAAAAAAAGCTGCTGACTTAGCAGCTGTTGCTGGTTCCTAGTTTAGTTCAACTGGAGGTCACCATTTCCACTTCTTTTATGTTTAAAGCCAGGGTCTTACTCTGTAGCTCTGGCTGGCCCTGAGATCTGCCTGCGTTTGCCTCCCAAGTGCCAGAACTAAAGGCATGAAGATCTCTACTTTTGAGACACTCACTATGTAGCCTGGGCCCCCAAATAAGCTTAGGAGATTGCTGGAGGGAAATTCACCCAGGGCCTTGCATTTTGTGACTTTAACAAGGGGAAGCAGGTCTGATGCCAGCCCTGCAAGTTGCTGTCTCACCTGTATGCCAACCACTAGAAGAGGAAGGCAGGATGGCTTTGGGTGTGGTACAAATGAGGTCAGATTGTGACCCTTGTGTTTTCCAGGCCAGTCATGTTCCATCAATAGAGGCTTCATGGCAGACCAGTCAATATTCACATAACTGTTACATAGAAACATGAAGTTAAACCAATCCAGTTGCACAGTCCGGGGGCCATGGAGTCTCCTGGAACTTGTTAATTACCTTTGTTTGAAAGGCCTCAGGTCACTGAGTCCCAGTGCCCTCCAAATGCAGAAACTTGCCTTGGAAGAGTTACTCACCCAAGGTCATTAACAAGTCCACGCCAGATAAGAGTACTGAACTTCAATGCTGGGCTCTTCATTTGGTGGTTTTGACTGACTACCTTCCCTTCACATACACAGGGAAAGATGGAGCTTCAGGAAACCATCCACGTGTGGAAGCAGCGGACACACATTATGCGGTACTTCCATGAAACAGAAACACCGAGGCCAAAGGACTTCCTGACCAAGTTCTATGTTGGCCATGACCCATGAGGTCACCCAATAGGAAGGTGCATGTTAATATTTAATTATTTAGAGTACAAATAAACTCATTATTTGATGGTTGCTTTGTGATAAACTTGTACTGGTGAACCCATTTCCTGTGAGGCCTTAGTGTACATGCCTTGTTTATTCCCTTTTCCTGAATATGGTGCTTGCTATCAACTTATCAGATCCTTACCTGGGGACGCAAGAAGGGGAAAAGGCTTATCTGTTCAGAATCTGTCACAGTATTTATGAAGCTGGGTGACTTTTTGTAGTTGTACTTATTATGTACTTACTTATGTTATTATAGTTGTACTTCCAAGATTGGGCATCTTGGTGTCAAGGCTTTTCCTATCAGGGAACAGCCACTCTATAGGGACAGCAGTAGGACAGACAAGATGACCTGTTTCCCCCTAGAAAATGGCTGTTCCAAGGCCTAGACCTACTTAGAAGCACTGGTCCTTAAAATGAAATTAACTCCCTACACATTGTGCAGTGGCACAACTATTCAATACAAACAGAGAACAGATTCTTCCTACTACTATGGTACTTTTTTTTTCAAACAGGATCTCATGTAGCCAAGGATAGCCAGGGATGACCTTGAACTACCAATGTTCTACCTCCTTCCCTGCACAGTCCTGAATGCTGGAGGAAGGTAGTCAGTATTTACATATTTACATATATGACCCCACATCATCAGAGATACCCCCACCCAAGAAGCCCAAGTTTTACAAAATATTTAACTATTAAGCAGTAACAAAACCCCACGTTTGGCACATGGCAACCCCTCCAGGCTTAAGGCTTCAATTAGCCTAAATGGCTTTGAGGGAAGTTTCTGCTGGATTTTTATAAAGTAAAAGAAAAAAATTTATAAAGTCTCAGGATGGGAGGTGAACAGAATTTCAGTGGTTAAGAGTACCGCTGCTTTTGCAGAGGACCAAAGTTAGTTCCCAACACCCACAGGAGGCAACTCATAATCACCTTTAACTCCAGCTCCTAGAGGGTCATATGCCTTTGGCCTCTAAGAACACCCGAAAACAGATACACAGTTAAAATTAATTAGAAGGTGAAAGTTCTCAATGCCCCTTGACAATGTCTGTGGTCATGTAACAGCCTAGATGTTCTAGCTCTTAATAAGATGCTTCTTGGCTACAGAAGGATGACAAAGTGCAGCTGAGTCTGCTGGGAGTGAGAAATGGGAACAGACTTTCAGTCATACACAGTTCATATTTATTATGTTACTCATAGTTTGCTTGCTTGTTATTTCCAGTGCTCTGTGGACAGCACATTTGAGGGAACCTCCCAATGCATAGGATTCTGGGCTGTTGTCACAAACCATGAGGAGATGAGGCTGGGGGCTTTCCCTGATCCTTTTGCCAATAGGGAAGGAGCTGAGTGTGCCACCACTTCATCTATTAGTGCTTTCTCCTTTCTGAACTTCCGCCAGGACCTGTAAGAAAGGCAAGCAATCAGTCACTTTTTTTTTAAAGACAGTCTCATGTAGCCCAGAGTCATCTTCAAACTCACTGTAGCCAAGGATGATCTTGAACTTGTTCCTGCCTCAACCTCTACAGTGCTGGGATTATTGATGTGTGCCAATAGACCTGGGGCATTTCGCTCTGCTTTCTGAGAAAAGGTCAGGAACAGGAGTTCCAGGCTATCCTTGAGCTCTGCCTTTACTTCTTGGGCACAGGTTCACAAAAAGCTCATGATACCAAATCAGGCTTTAGCAGTAGTCACTTTCAAATAGGAGGTAAAAGGAGACGTAGCATAGACAATAAAGAATGGGTGGACTTAAGACATAGTAGTAAAGAACAATGGGCCAATTCTTGGAGATGGGTAAGAATAAGAATAACTCAAGAAATGACTCCAGGACTGGAGAGATGGCTCAGATGATCAGAGCACATACCGATCTGGCAGAAGACCGAGTTCAGTTCGGCTCAAAGCTACCTGTAACTCCAGCTCCAAGGGACCTTAGTCTCCTGGCTTCTATGAGTATTCATACACATAGGCACATAAGTAGTGTTAAAATATTAATAAAATGATGAATCCTGCAGAGAGCCCCCTCTGGCAAGGCCACAGAAGACATGGCCCTCTCAAGGTTACTTCCTCCTATGGTTGAGAATATGGGAGATAAAAATGGCCTAAAGGGTATGACCAGATCACAACAAGAATGTCAGGCAGAGAGCGGGAGTGTCCTTGCCTGAGACAGTCTAGTCACACAGCATACATTACAGTACGGGAAATCAACACAGGAGAAGAATGGGAAGAGCACTGGGAGCCCTGCCGCAAAGGTTTGTAAGCAGGATACTGGCTCTGATGGTGCACAGTGTAATAAGATCTAACAGTAGTAACAGCATGCACACCTTTTAATCTTCGAACTCTGGAAGCAGAGGCAGGCAGACATCTGTGAGTCTGAAGCCAACCTGGTCTATATAGTGAGTGCTAGGACAGAGCTACACAGTGAGCTATTTAAAACAAACAAAAACCTGACAACAGTGAGGATTTGCTAGTTGCCTTTTAAAAATTTACTTATATTTATATGTGGATTTGCCATGTGTGTGGGTGTCCACAGAAGCTAGAAGAAGGTGTTGGACCCCTGGAACTGAAGTTACAGGTGGTTGTGAGCTGCCCAAAGTGGGCATTAGGAATAGAACCTGAGTCCTCTCCAAAGGCTAACAGCTGAACCATCTCTCCCACCCCCTTGCCAGTTTTAAATTTCAATATGAAGCTGTTGACTGTACTAAACTGGTCAAGAATCCTGGATGCCAAGACTTAACTTTGCTATCAACCTCAGACACCAATTTCACAGGTCTGTCCTGATTCGTTTGTAAAAATCCTACTGCAACATTACCAACAGACTTCTCAGGACTGAAGGTCCTGCTCTGCATCCCCCACCCTTTACCCTCCTCATGATTTGCTGTTTTACCTCTTCTTCTCTGAGGCAGAGATTGCATGACTTGTATTAAGTGGAAAGCAGTCAGGCAGTGGTGGTGCACACCTTTAATCCCAGCAGTCAGGAGACAGAGGCCAACCTGGTCTACAAACTAAGAGAAACCCTGTCTCGAAAAACCAAAACAAAAAAGGAAGTGTAAAGCATATTAAATCATAAAGAAAATGTCAGTTGACTGAATTAAGGTAGGTCAAGGGCAACTGAAAGGCTTGATAGGATCTTAATCTAGTAGTAAGAGATAACAGTGAAGCTGTCAGTCAAGTTATTCCTATCCAACATAGTAGAAAGACAAGAAGTCTCAAGTGGGTGAACTCACTAAGTCTTCTGCCCTGAGTGTCCAAATGCTGCGCAGGCCAGACTGCATCAGAGATCAGATGTTCCACCCTACTTCTTGTCCCTATCCAATTAGAAGAAAGGCAAGTCTCACCTGTTAATCATCATCGTCGTCATCCTCAGGAACAAAAATGTCATGCTCCTCAAGTAGAGCAGCAAAGTTCTTGCTAATGAGTGTCCCAACATAGAGAAAGGGGATCACAATGGAGAACACACGAAGAAGACCAAAGGACATCTGCAGAGAGAGATGTGCTGTGAGCACTGGAGACCAGTGGCTGCACCTCAAGCATTTCCTCCAGTGACCCCAGATCCAGACACCAACTGATTTTTTAAAGTCTTTGGGAAAACTCAGAGCAACAAAGAGACAAAGTGAGTTTGGTGGCCATCAAAATGAATATCAGAAAAAAGCATTAAGCTAAACTAAATTTGGGGAAATAAACAACTAAAAATTAGGGCACAACCAGCTAATACCTTGCAAGTGGGTGAATGTACTACAATAGCTAGACTAGTTCTACACACATGAACATGAGTTTCAGGGACTGGAGAGATGGCTCAGTAGTTAAGAGCACTAGACCTAGTTTTGAGTCTCAGCCCCCACATGAATTCTCCTAAGGAAGTAACTTCAGTTCCATCAAACTTCTGGCCTCTGTGGGCATCTGGTAGTTAAGAACTGCACAGACATACATGCAGCAAAACACCCATACACATAAAAAATTAGTTATAAAACAGTGTGCAGTGAAGAGTTTTTCCATACAGTCCTTTTTTTATGTAACTGGTTCCTGCTGCCTGAGAAACTGTATCACATTAAACTTGAAAACATGAAAAGACAGTACGAGCTAGAGGGAAGCAGGTGACATTTCACTAGTATTTGCTTTCTGATTTCCCTAGCTGTGCCGTTTTATAAAGCAAATGCACCTTCTGCTTCTTGCTGTGAACTGCGGCCAGCTGTTAGTACAGGTCAGACTATCTCTAAAAGATTTCGTTTTCCCTTTAACTCTACACAGCCATGCATTCAAAAACCACACCTTTGGTACAAGACTTTCCATTTTCCTTAAGGTCACTGAGGTCAAGTGACAGCGTTCAGTGGTGGAAAAAAAAAAAAGGACGTGATCCCTGGTTGTCAAGACCTAACTCTGCTACCAGCTTCAGATGCTGGCTCTGCCCTGATTCATCTATAAAACCCCTTCTGCAAGATTCCCTGCACACTTCTCAGGATAAAAGGACCTGCTCCGCATCCCTCCATCCTTTTCCATTTCCTTTTTTAGAGTTTATTACTTCCGCATTCCTGTCTCACTTCTTCAAGACTGTTTTATCCCATCACCTCTGAGGCAGAGATTGAATGACTTGTCTGTATCGGCACAAAGCTCTTCTTCTGGCCCTAGAGGATGGGTCATTGCGTCTCTCAAGATAAGACAGTGCACGTTTGCTGCTGTCTTCCAGCTTGTTCCCAGGAACCCAGCTTAACACTGGGTTTTACGCAAGCACTTTCCTCCACCTGTCAAAGTCAACAACCCAACTGAGCAAACTGTTCTAGGGCCTCAACGCAGTCTACGCCACTACTGTGACTGGCCTCTGCGCCTGTCAATCAGCCCAGGCCGTACGCACTCCCCCAGTGAATGGCCTCGATCCCTTCGCCCCGCCTCTAGTCAGACACTCACTTTCACCGGCTTGGGCAAAATGGCGCCGCTGCGAGTGACGGTGACTGACCTCGACGATACCAGGCTGCGACCTGAGCTGCCCGGTACGACGGAGAAATCGCCACCTCTCTTCCCCCTCAGCCCGCTCCAGACAGCCCCTGGTCGGACTGCTGTCCAGGCCAGCCGGCAAGCCACCGCGAACGCCATCTTCAGCTCCACCCCTTCCAGGGATCCACACCCTGCACGTCAAGTGCGGCCCTCTCATAGAAAAACCGCCTCTAAGCCTCGCGAGACTCTCGACGTATACGCCTGCGCAGTACCCGCGGGTAGTAGTGGGAAAGCCCTCTGAGCCGGTCCGATGTGGTGACGTCAGGTAGTCAACCCCGCCCCTCCCGGGCTCGAGGGCGGAGCCGTCGTCTGGGGCTCCATGAGTAAGGTCTGACCTTCACCTCTCAAAGACTTGATTTAATTAAGGGACCCAAATGTGTAATGAAAGACTTTATTTGGTATTTGAATTTATAAAATAAAAAACTGTAATAACAAAAAGTTAACAAGAGCCCATAGTGTCCGTGAACATTCGAAAAACGGGTGCAGCTTCCCATACAGCAGGAGGGAGCAAGCAAGTAGCGGAATTGGCCTGGTGGCCTCTGTACCAGCAAGACAGGTTCTCACTCAGTTGCTAGCCTAGGGCACTGGCTTCTCAGCTCTAACTCCTGACTCTTCATTTGTAAACACAGATTATAATAACCAAAATGAATAATTTTCTGAGAGGCTCTTATGTGTATCCCAGTCTAATAAAAAACCTACTGTGTAGTCAAGGATGCCCTTGAATACCTGATCCTCCTGTACCTCCCTTGCTATCACACCCTGCAAACTTTACTGTTCTGATTATAAGAAAAAACAAAACTGAAGCCAGATGTCCTGCTACAAAACAACAAAAACAAGGTGGACATGGTGGATCATATCTATAATCCCAGCACTGGCAAAACTAAGAATGAGTCCCAGGCCTGTAAGAGCTAAAAAGTGAGCCCTGATCTCCAAAACCAATCTATTTAAAGAATAAACACTAACTACTGTAACAAGGAAGTTAGCAAAGAAATAGTACCTCTGAGTACAATCAAGCCTTGTTGGCTTTGATGCTACAAGCAGACCTGAGAAACATGGTTGGCATCACAGGAACTGGCCCTGGCCAAGGAAGGAGACCATGAAACTCAGTCTCTTGGAGGCCAAAGTTTGGCCTTTAGGCCTGCATGGATTTTGGTCAGGCTGTCCCAAGGCCCCAGATAGGAAAAGAAGGGAGGACAGGAAGAGGCAGATTTTGTTAGGGAAGGGTATGGCTCTGGCGAGCCCTGCATTTTCCCAGTCACTGACTCTGTACCTATATAAAGGGGACAGATGAGTCTGACTTCTGGCTCTGTAGACCCAGCCATTTGACCTCTTAGAATAATAGAAAATGATACTGACATGATACAGGAGAAAGCAGCCATAGGATTCTTGGCAGACAAGCCTTGGGAAATAAGCAATAGGTGACAGGGTCCCTAGGAGTGACCGTGGATGACAGATCAGGAAGAGTTGCTCCTTTATAAAAGCTGCCTGCCTTTCCCAGGGCAATTATACATTATACCAGCATTATACATTGACAAGGTGGCAAGGGAGAGAAGACTCCCCCTTTAGCACCTAAAGGCCCTCTCCTGCAGAGAACCCTGCTCAAACCATGTCAATGTCAGTACTCAAGCCACTTCTGCTATCACCTCTGGCATTTAGATGCCCAAGGCTCGTTGTGCTGGAAATTCTGGCCAGAGTGTCCTGAAGGGGTAGAGAAGCACAGCCCTCTTCCTGCATTATGTTATGTTCCCATCAGCCACCTGGCCTTTCTAGGCCTTAGAAAATAGATTGGAAGTCACGATTCCTCAGTTCACTCCAGGCAGAGAGGAGGACTGAAGTTAAAGTCTACAGAGCAGGAAGGACACACACACACACGCGCGCACACACACACACACACAACCAACTGAGTAAACATTTAACTCCTGAAGTATGACCCTGATATCCTAACCGGCAGGACAGGGCCACAGCTCAAAGAGCCCTGGCTCAGGGCCTGTTCTGTTGCTTGCTCTCTGTTTGGTTCCCCTTGGCCCTTTGCTGCCATCCTCGTCTCAACTCCATGATCTCTTTCCCATACCAGTCATGCAAGATAGAGAAACAGGAGGTATCAGGGGACACAGGGCTCTGTCCCCTGCTTAGGAGGAGACTGGCAGGGCCCTGTAACCCCCACTCAGTCAAATCCCGACCTATTGGCCTGCTCCCCCTTTCTTCCACAGAACCATTGGAGTTTCGGTCCCTGGGGAGAAGGTGGCCATTCTCAGGTCCCAGAGCCCGTCGGTCAGGAGCCTGAGGCTTACTGCAGCCAGCAACAGACTTATGGGACACACAGCGATGCAAGGCCAGGCTCTGACGGGCATCCTGCAACTGGCTCTCCAGCTCTCGTACCACAAGTCGCATGTAGCCAAAGCTGGCTCGGGACAGTGCCTTCACCCAGGCCTCCTGGGCAACTTGCCCATCTGCTGCCAGCAGGTGTGGGCGTACTCCAGGGGCATCAAAGCGAATGGCAAAGGCAAATTCCTCAGGCACAGGAGCCTCAGCCAGCTCCACCGTGCAGCCCTCCAGTACCACCAGGCTCAGAGGGGCCCGGCTTTCTCTGTTCTCGAAAGAGAATAGCAGGTTGCCCTTGAGAACAAACCAGTATCTTCGGCCAGCACCACTAGGAGTAGGTGGGGTCCCTGGTCCTCCCCAAGTACGAAGGAAGCCAGTGTGGTCTGCTGGAGTCTCACTCAGAGCATAGTGGGCCACACTCCTCTTGTTCAGCTTCATGGCTCCCACGAGAACACTGAGCTAGAGAGATGGTAGCACCTGGAGGAAAGAACCCAGGCTCAGAAGACCTGCAGCCCCATCCTGTGGCTCCTATTAACCATGTCCCTGAAGCTCTCAGACTTCAATTGTGATGGATTAACTAGTCTTCCTTGCCAGTCATCTCAAAGGTCATGTAAGGCTCAAAAAAAAAAAAAAAAAAAAAAAAAAAAAAAGGATATCAAAAATCTGTAACAGAAAAGACAATACTTGTATCAGAATAAGAAGAATGGAGGACATTTAGTCAGGCCATTATGTGTACATCTTTAATCTCAGCACTTGGAGGCAGAGGCAGGTGGATCTCCATGAGTTACAGGCCAACCTAGTCTATAGATTGAGTTCCAGGACATGCTCCAAAAACTACACAGAGAAACCCTGTCTTGGGGGGGGGGGGATCACTCAGGAAGTAGAGGCATCTATGTGATTCGAGGCCATCCTGATCTACGAGTGAGATTCTGTAGCTAAGGCTATTACACAGAGAAACCCTGTCTCAAAAAAAAAAAAAAAAAAAAAAGTTTGCAGGACATTAACATGGGATGTTTTTGTTTCTTTGTTTAAAATAGGGTCTCATGTAGCCCAGGCTGCTCTCCAATTCACTGTCCAAGGATGCTCTTGAGCTGATCCAATTGTCCTCTGCCTCCCCAGTTCTGGGACTGCAGGCCTGCTGCCGTGCTTAGGATAGCTTGGTCTTCCTGAGCCCCTACCAGCCTCTCAGTGGTGGCCAGCCCACTTTAATAAGAACCTGTGATTTCAGAGCCAGATGGAGGCAGGGGAAAGGCCAGCCGGTGAGGGGTCAAAGGGGACCTGCCCTGTAAACTCCAGTGGTACTGGGAACACTGAAGATATACCCACCAAATCCAAATTCTGGTGCTCCGAGGCTCATATAGGGCAGCTGAACTGGCAAGGATGACGTAGGGAGAAGTAGCACATGGTCTCACACATTCAAAGCAGGATCTTGTTGGTGACACAATTATCAGAAGAGCCTACAGAGAGGGGTAGAATGGCCTCTTAACTAACCACACAGCCCAGACACATGGTTCCCAGGAAGCCTGCAAAGCAGTCCTCAAAGAATGTGAGAATTGCTGTTCTAACTTTAGGGCCCAGTGAAAGGGCAGCCTCTTGCAGGAGGATCTGCTTACCTGTTTTAATGCCCCACTCATCCCCTAGAGCAACTCAGCTTCCCTCTGTGTCTTGGCCCACAGTCTCTTGACTGTAACTATGGGCCCCCTGAAGCTAGCTAGACAGGTCAGATAAGTGCTGGTCAAGGCTTTCCCTTCTAGCACTTGTTAACAGAGTATCTCAGAAACCTCTCCTGATCACTGCTGTACCCAAAGTGGTTTGTTCTAAGATCAACTGGCCAGCAGTCCTCCATTTCTGATTATGTCCCTTTTGACCCCCCTCCATGGTTTCATTTGTCACTGTCCCCATTTGCAGGATGCCTGGGGTGGCTTAAGCTCGATTGCCCGATAACCTCCAATAATCAGCCCTGTGCAGACTTGCTGAATTCGTGGAAATTCAGTGGACAAAATTAGGTTCCTGTCCTTCTGAAATCTACTTTGCAGCAGGAGAGACAAGTAGTAAGCAAATATAATTAAATAAATAATGAATTAATCAAGTAGTGAGTGATGAAATCGGAGTCAGGATGCAGGAGGGGAAGAGAAGGGCTCCAAAGAGAAGGAAGCAGGCCCCGAATAGAGGAAGACCGTTCTAGCCACAGCCCGTCGTGGGCCCCACCGAGGGGCTGAGCCCTCGAGAGCCTGAAGTTGAGGCCTCTCCCTTGGGTGGCCCTGGGGATGCCTGGATCCCGCCTGAGCTCTCTAGCCACGTCCACAGCCACGCCCTCCAGGTCACCTCCTCCCGGAGCCCGCACTCACCTCCAGAACCCAAGCCTGGTTCGTCGGGTGGGATGCAATCCACCCCTGCTCCGGACCCCGTGCCTCCGCCCGGGCTGAGAATGTGGCCGCGGGAGTCGGGAGACCCCGCCCGGGAGGCTCGTGTTACCGCCCCGGCGTCTCCCCGCCCAGTACCCACCAGGCCTCGGGATCTACAAAGTCGCCTTGGCACGGCACGCACACCGAAGGGAAACTGAGGCGCTGGAGGGTGGGGACCCAACTGAGCTGTAGGACTTGTCGATGAAGGATGGCCTCGAACCCCGATCCCAACCTCAGGCTACCCATAAGGCTCCAGCTCACCACCGAAGGAGAATTCGGATGGTTTTTGTTTTGTTTTGTTTTTTGTTTTTGTTTCCCCCCCCCAAAAAAAGTTCCCCCTTACCGCCCAGCCAGTCTCACCCCACCCCGACAAAGCCAAGCCAGGCAAGCCATCCTAGGGCGAGCTCCTACAGAGCCTGCAAAACCTGCCAAGCTTCTCAACCAAGTCCTTGGGTCATCCCCATCTCTGCCTCTAGAAATTGGCCATTACAGCTTTTATCACAAGCTGGTGCGCATCTGCAATCCACTTGTGGTCCCAAGGCTCTACCTGGAGTCTGTCCATCCAAAGGCTTGCAGAGAAGACTGCAGGAGAACACTAAGGTGGGAGTCCCAGAAGCCCTGAAGGCAAATGCATTCAAACGACTGCCCAGAGTTTGTGGGTCCCCACCTCAACCTCTGCTTTGCAGTTCCTGAAGCCTAGAAGGCCCTTCCTTGGTACCCTATCCCCACCACTAGCCTCAAGCTCCTCGACATATAGGTCTCAGCTGTGAGGCCCCCTCCCTGACCTCACAATGTAGAGAAAGAGAAACATACCCTACACTACACCCTGCTTTGAGTGCTGGATTTTGTGTGTGTGTGTGGTACGGTGGATGTTTGTTATTGTTGTTGTTTACTAACTTTTCTTCAATTAATAGTATCATTTACAGTAAATATGTTACAAGGTGAAGATTGCCTGGGGAAATAGAGCATGAGTTTCTGAGGGTGGGAAGCTTGGGGTTTAAATAGACTGGTAGAATAAACCTCACTTTGACAAATAATTAAGAGAAATGAGGGTGTCGGCATTGCATTCTAGGCAGAGAGAAGAGCTAGTCCAAAGGCCTCCCGAAGGCCAATGAGGAAGGTGACAGCATGAAATGGGGCCAAAAGGTAGAGGGTGGGGCTTAGAAAAGGCATTTCTCTGAACTAAGAGTAGACAAACATGGGCTTGAGAGAGGAATGACCAGGGCTGGGTTGGTTAAGTTCTCATTAGATTATTTTATGTGTATGAGTGTTTTGCCTGCATGTATGTATGTGTGCACTATGTGCATGCCTGGTGGCCTCAGATTTCAGAAAAGGGTGTCAGATCCCCTGGAACTGGAGTAGGGATAATTGTGAGCCACCATGTGAGTCTAGACAACCAACCCCTGTGCTCTGCAAGAGCAACCAGTGCTCTTAATCACTGAGCCATCTCTCCATCCCACAGAGCTGGGTTTTCAGGGTTTGCCTTGGCTCCTGTGGGGAAAGTAACCTTAGATGGAAGGAGAAGGCCATCTGGGGTTCTATGAATCATCCAGAGCCCCCAGCCTTGCAGTGTGAGATGAGGGTGAAGTTTGAAAGTAGAGACCACAGGATTTTTGGAGAATTACATGTGAAGGCTGAGGAAAAGAGAAAGTAGGATGTACTAAGCATTGGGCTGTGGCTTAGGGAAGTAAGTTTGCCGTTATCTGAGATGTGGAAGGTGGCACTATTTCATTAGGGGCCAGTTGTGATTACTACCATCAGTATGAAGGCATCCAGAAATAGCATTTGGCAACAACATATGTTCAATAAATAATTGAATGAGTGAATGAATGAATTTGGGGAGTGGATGGGCAAACAACCCCTTGGATGACGTATATAGAGAAGGGCACACACAGCCTCTTAACCTTTCTAGGGCTGAAATGCCACCTAGCCTCTTCACATTTTTTTTTTTTTTTTTTTTTTTTTAGCTGTTAAGGGCAGGTTTCTGGGCTGACCCTTTCGCCTTCAGTAGAAATTCACTACACTCCCACTTACTAAGTGCAAGCAGTGCGGACCACCACCCACGCCCTTTGGGTAGGAACACACTGAGGGGAACACCTGCGGAGCGCGCACAGGGTCCTAGAGCTGATTCCCACGGGAACGCGCCTCGGGAGCGCGCAGAACGCAACTTTAAATGGGCGGAGCTTATGGAGGCTGGGCGCTGGGGCATAGAGGGAGGGCACGACGTTGCTAGGGGATTCTGATTGGTTGCTCTGGAAGGGTTGCCCCGCGATGCCCCGCCTCCCGGGTCGCAATAGGTACACGCCGCAGCGGCTGGGGGCTCCCGACGATAAACGCACAGCTGACTGAGCAAGCGAGAGGATAAGGACCAAGGAGGACCTTGGACCTGGATCTTTGAGGGCCGCGGTCGAGAACCTGGACACCACACGGGGATCCGGAGCCTGGTAGGGCCCAACGCCTCCCTTCTTCCTGGAACCAGTCGCTGCGGTTTTCGGGCTCTGGTCTGGCAAAAGGACGACGTCCTAGACCCGGTGTAGTTCTAAAGGAAAAGCCCAGATGCCGGGAATTGATGGTCGGGGAAGGAGTGATAGTAATGAAAGCGACTTGATACCACAACTGTCCAAAATTTTACCATATAGACAAGGATATTCTCCAACTCGCCTAGTGCGAAGATTAGATTAAAGGTGTGCGCCTCCATATCCGGCCATAACATCTCCTTTTTGAGGCAGTGTCTTCCTATGTAACCCTGGCTGGCCTGAAACTCGCTGTTGTGGACTAGGCTGGCCTGGAAGTCATAGAGACCCCCTGCCTCTACCTCCCGAGTGCCGGGATTAAAGGCGCACACCACTATGCCCGGTGAGATATTTAACATCTTATCTTCCACAGTTCAACATAAAAAGCTGATCAGAGCAGAGAAGATTCGTTTGGATCCTGATAATTGACTCCAGGACTATGCTGCAGAAGACAGGTACCCACAGCCTAGCGGGGTGGCTTTTGGAGGAGGACTGTAGAGGGGGAAGCGCCAGGCCTCTGATAGTTACTCTTCCTTGATGTGGGTATGTGGGGAGAAGTGTTCCTCTCCTCTTCTTGGAGCTACCAGGAAAAGCAAGGAGATGCTCCCCACCAAGAATCAGTTCTGCTCCAAAGAAGAGCACTTCCTTT